AACCCTAAACCCCAAACTTATTCCCTCTTCCTCAATCAGCAGCCTGGCAGTACTGGAGGGCTAATTTGCGGCGATGAGCACTGGATTACTGAGCAAAGCGGTTTTGGGGTTTACGGCGGGGACACTGGTGACCACAGCAACAATACGCATAAGACTAGCAAAATGAGCTAGAGCAGTTGCAATATCTTAAATTAGACGAAGGATGATATGTAGTCATGATAACAAAGTATGATAAGGATAGCATTTCAAGAGACAAAACAATAGCACTAGTGCAGTAGTACTAGACAACAACCATGACAATAATCAAATATGACAACAAAATCAGAATGATAGTAGTACGCGGCAGGGCGAGCCCATCGATGAGCTTCCGCTTTTTCCACGCTCAATGGGAAGGGGTGAAGGGTTTGGCAGCTCGAGGCGACCATGTTGCTGTACAGATAAACGTCCGCCCGCGCAGGTGTTCGCCTCTGGCGAGGCCCTCGACAGGCAGAATTTCTGCAGCTGTGCCCCAGGAAAGGGGCCGCTCTCTTTGGGATCCCAGCGCTAAGAGCAGCAGCGCTGTCTGCCACCACTCCAATGCCGCTTGGTCCGGGTTTGGCCGCGCGAAGGCCCGGGTACCCCGGGGCCTCCGCCAGCAAGTTCCGGAGAACCAAAACTCATCAAAACTCATCTAATTAAATCTATTCAGGGGCCCTTGGGCCTCCAGCAGAAGAGGGAAAACTTCAAAGCTCTGGGCTTACCTAGCTACTGGTATGGCGCGTGCATCTGATGACTCAAGTGGCTCAGGCTTCACACTTCACGCTCAGCCTTCTTGGACTCCTCATTCTCCCCCTTGCCCTCCTGATAGCAGGAAAGAAACAACCAAAAGTCGATCCAAAACACACCGCTGCCCTCCCGTCCTTTTTGCCCTTCTCGAGGTTCATCAGGTCGGGTGCCTCTTTACTCACCTGCAAGACCGAAGCATTGGGAACGTTGGGGAGAGGGTAACAGGTTTAGGGTTTGGGGCTTCGGGTTTAGAGACAAGTGAAGGAAGAAGGGGGAGCGCAAAAAAGGGAAAACAAACGTAAATAACGCAGAACAGCAGCGTCCATTTCTACAACAAACCATGAATAACCCTATATAACCCTATTATAACCCTGTATAATGATATTGATATACATATATATGCTCCTTTGGAACACCAAAGACCCATATATCCCTCTAAAAAACCCATATAGTCTGCATACTTCAATCTAACCCCTATATAACCTTATGTAACAACATGTAACCCTTTGAAACCCAATCAACCCTCTAAAACCGCATATAACCTTACATAACGTAACACCCTGTGAAACCCCGTACATCCCTACATAACCCTATCTTTCCCTGTACCGTTCCATGTTTATACCAACCAGCTATAAAGCCTCTACATAACCTTATAGAACTTCATATAGCCCCTAGATAATCTGAAATAACCTTATGTAAGCCTGTTTAGCCCTATAATTCTATATAACCCAGAATAACCCTATATGACCCTGCTTTACCCTATATGATGCTACATGGCCCCCACCCTCTGTATAACCCCATATGTCCGCTTCTAAACCCATATAAACCATTGTTTAAACTCCTAGTATCCCCCTTAATAAGCCCTATAGCAGTCCCTATATAATCCCCTAATGACCCCCTTTAAGGAGCGGAGTTTAGACTATAGCTCATATACTCAGTTTAACCCCCTTCTATCCTGCCTCAGCATCTCCGTCCTCATCCGGGAGGCTGTCCAGCAGTTGCAGCTCCTCTTCGGAGAACAGGAACCTCATGCCCTGCCGAGAGGCTTCACGGGCTGTCTAGGGTTTAGGGCTCAGTGTCTAGGGTACCCAAATGTACTGGAGAGTCAGATGGAAAAACACATGGAAAATTGAATGCGAACTGGGTTTCTACAGGCGTTTACAAATTAATTGCCACGCAATGCACCCTTAAACCCAAACCCTTACACCCGAAGCCTTATCACTGGCGTCAGGGTCCTTTTGGGGAGTTTACACGCATGGATTTTAGAAGAACTTGTTGAATATCTGGTGCTAGGTGGGAGAATGGCAAGTTATGTTGGGCAACAGCAGTAGAGGGCCTTACGCATCCCATCCCTCCACAAACAGAAACAAGGTTGAAAAGTAAAGACCACTCAGCCCATAGCCCAGCCGTGCCTTGCGGATGATGGCCAGAGAGGCCATGAAGAAGGGGAAGACCACCGACGTCTCCTTGATGGCCTTGAGCAAGTTGTTTTAAAGAATGTTAGGATGCCGAAGTCCTAGACATCACTCACCTGTATGGAAATCCCTTAATGTTCCACGTATATCCCACACCAGTACCTAGAGAATCCTAGGCCTTGAGACCGTAGAGGATGCCCAAACAGACCACCTGGACGACAGTGTAGAGATGGACCCGCTTGATGGGCAGCTTCTGGATGTAATGGTACTGCGGGTACTTCGCAGGGTCCCAGATCAACCACAAGCAGAGGCGGTCGAAGAGGTTGTTGCCCGTCAGCGAGGCGATGCCCATGTAGAAGAAGACGCCCTGCAGCACGGCCCGCGGCAGGAACTTCAACGCCGGGGCGAGGAACAGTGCACACCCAATAAGGACCTTAGGTTTGTCCTCTAAGCCCTGTAAAATTTTCTACTATTATGGTTCTCTACCAAAGAATAGGGGAAAGGAAAAAAAAGATCCCAACGGACAAGCCAAGGCACATGAATCAAGAAGTTGGTGGCGCGCTGCTCCACCACCTTTGCCGGGCGTTTGACCTCGCCCTCGGGCAGCTGCTTCACCTCGTAGGTCGTCAGGGAGATCACGTGCGTGATGCTGGGCACCGTGGAGGCCACCGACAGCGGCAGGCCCAGCACGGCGCATGCAGAGAGAGTCAAAGCCCCTCTCACACATAAATCAAGATGATATCCAGGACCTTTCTTCAAATTGTTGGAGGGGCGATTCACGATCACGGAGGTCAGGTTCTGGTCCAGGTATCCCAGCACGGCGAACCCGATCCTTACAGGAAATCCTAACAGCACATCTGTGAAACATGACCCCCTATGACATTTGAATCATACGACCCCACTTTGAAGGGCCTACTGTTATCACGGCTTCAACAACACATGACTGAAGAAGCTCTCGGGTGGCGCAGGAAGGACCGAGTAAGCGATGCCCCAGGCTGGGAAGTCCTTTTCGATGCCCATGGGATTCACGATCCAAGGCCGCTTGCTGCCATCCGACAGCACCAAGTTCGGGGAGAAGTCTGCATCCACACTCAGCATCCTCAGGGATGTGTCGCTGGAGTAGATAGCCGCCAGCGCCGAGGCTGTGACCAGCGAGATCGTCACGGCGAAGTTGGCCATGAGATTGCGCAGGGACCTCAGGAGCCACGGCGTTCGGCGGAAATGGGACAGGTAGGTCGCCAGGCCGAAGGTATAGATGAAGAGTAGAGCCTCACACACTTGCTGCTTTCATGCCCTAACATGTGCTAACATGCGCTAACATCTCTTCGTCTAAACCGGGAGCCTCATCGCGGCCGTCAGGGTCATCCTGCTCTCCGTGAAGTTCTCGATGATCGGCCTGCATCCCAGCCACCACATCCACAATAGCTTGCTTGTCTTATGACCTACAACATTGCATACGGCCCAGGGTTCGTGGCACGCAAGGAATCGCAAGGGCATGAATGCACAGCACATGCTCAGCTAGACAAAGTTCATATGAGCAAAGGGACACAGAGAACGCAAAGATCGGGAGGCCCGCCTTACCCCATCGATGATGAAGATCAAGCTGATGAGGCCCGCAAAAATGTCTTCCGAAAACCTAAAATGTCACGACAGAAACCTCTCAAACCAAAAAGAGGTTCGAAAACGAGCGCGCCGCACAAATGGGGTCCCTATCACCGTTCAACTCAGCAGCATGGTCACGTGCTTCATGAGGGCGCAGAGGTCGAAGATGGCAACAAGGATGGTGAAGAGCGAGCACCACATACACGTTCAAAAATAAAATGGCATAAATTCCAGGTCGCTTCCTACCGCAAGGTCATAGACCACCAGCGTGTAGGCCAGGAAAGGGCCGGTGGCTCCCAAAATGGACAAGGGCTGTCCAGATGTGGTAGAGAAGAGCACACCCGAAAGTGCAGTCGAGATTATCATCTCCAGGACACCGAACTGCCCATTCGTTCCATCCAAGAAGCGGCTACCGAAGGTGATGGCAGGCGCGCGCAGCGATGAAGAGATACCTTGCCAGGTTAACAGTAGGAATTTCTTGAGGCTCATCTACTGCCTACCCCCAAAAATCTCCGACTGGTGTATTCCAAGGCGCAAGATGGAGGATAAGGACTTCTGGAAGTTGTCCGGTGTGAACGCATCTGTCCAGTCGCTGCAGTAGAGGGTCGCCCGCCTCTTCAGGTCCAACCTCAATCCATCTGCAATTTTTCCCCATAAATTCCAGCACCGAAACCTACATAAACGGGTTGCTGCTCCTTTTTCCCTTAATTGCGCTAAAATACCTTATCCTGAGGAATCTGCTACATAGAAGCTAGACTTCTATGGTACTCCCACAGTTGATGGAAGAAGGAAATCCCGCATCAGCTACAGTCCTTCGAATGTTGGGAATTACAATGTTTTTAGTGTTCCTAAGTGATGGAAGATTCCATCCATCCTCATGCTGCTCCTACTACTGCTTGATGGCGCTCTACCGGCGTTGTGTGCACAGAACCTATAATTACCCCTTTAATTATTAATGTACTAGGATTACCATCACCTCTATTGCTGCATTGGTAACAATACTGTTGCGTACTGCCAGTACCATTCCTAAAGAACTATTACAAGCGCGCACGGTCTGAGAGACTTAGCTTCGACTTGCAATAGGGCCTCATCTACGTCGGTCATATTATATTAGGGTGATAAAAGAAGAATACGGGAACAAGATTCTGTTATGACTGTACACGGACAAAAAATGACGAAAAAAAGGATAGTCATGGTGTCTATATGAACCATCGACTAAACTCCTAGTTACTAATCTGCATAATACTCCCCTGTAATCCCTATACAAACCCGCAAAAGAGAGTTTAGACTACAGCTCATGTGAATTTAGGGGTTCCACATTACCCAGCTGGAGAACAAGCCTGGCGAGCGGTTCTCGTTTGGAGACGACAATCATCCTTACAAGGACTCTTAGAATTCTGCATACGATTGAATGAAGGATTTTCATGACAAAGAGACCAAATGTCATGACTCGCTAGCAACAGTTTAGGGCTTAAGCTTTCTCACTTTACTTCTCGGGCTTTGCATGAAGACACAAACTTCTAATGCCTCGTACTAACATCTATAGAGCTTTTGGGCAACGGAAGATTGCCATAAATTGCAAAACGAAGGGGACACACAGCAAAAAATCTCACCTGGCTTCCCACACGCTGGGTTCAAAATCTGTTGAGGCCTCGAGTCCAGCTCCGTAGCTCTGAATCTTCAAAGGGAGACGAACGTGCAGGGCAAGCTGCAGAGTGAGATCTTTGGATTTTGACGTAGCTGACGATTTCAGAGAGTCGCATACCAAAGTCATGTCAAATGTCGAGTGGCTTAACACCTTCAGAAGGTGGCCAGGGGGTCAGTGTGTGGGACCGTGAGGTCAAAGCGACTGAACAGACTCTAGTCTGGAAGGAAGGCTTTTGGCACTGAGGAACTGAAGAGCTTACGGCTTACTACTATGGACTTTGTTTCAGCAAGAAAGGCTTCAAGAAGCTTGTGGAAGAGCATTAAAATTTCAAGAAGCCGACGGAATCCGGTTCAAAGATCACAGTCTACCTGCGCCTCGTCCGCTTATGAGCCTACCTACAAGGGTTTCGTTGTACCTTCTGGCCAGCTTCGATCTCTTGGTGAGCGGTCTCTCTGTTGCGCACCGCCATCGCCA